GAACCGCTTTTGCTTCTGTCAGTGACTTGACTGCTCCGTCTGGAAACAAGACTCCAGACGTCAGACGTGGTTATCTCTGGGCTGCTGCAACCTTCATCTCGCTGTCCTGGTGAGCAGCACCTGCCAGCTTCGTCTGGTCCTTGGGGAGCCACTTAAGCCTCTCTGAGGCTTCTAGTAAATCATAGACTGTCAGGGCCTGCTTTTCTGCAGGTATCCAACGGTAGTAGAGCTGGTGTAATGATAGCTCCTTGATGATGCATTTGTGGACAGTCTGTGTACCCTCAAGGGCTGAGGACACTAGCATCTTCTGATTAATGACGTCTTGTGGAAGAGTTGAAACCAGGGAAGGTGTTGCCTGAGCTGTATCACTGCAGCCAGTCTTGGCAGCTGGTGGTTAAAGATGATGACTTACATTAGGTAAATAAAACTTTCTAAGCATCTGAATGCAAAGTTTTAAAACCAAGGGATGCTGCTACAAGAAGGAAATGTGCAAGTGTGTGAACAGACTATAGGCAGAGAGAGAGATGCACCCAGGGAGAAGTTTGACAGGTTGAAAGCAGTGTCATTGATGCCATCATTCTGTAGTGGCCGTTCAAAAGAAAGCTCCCAGTGATGCACTGGGGAAGGTGTGTCCAGGAGGTTTTCTCCGAGCATCATGCAGCCACGCGAGAGGCTTGTAGAAAGCCTCTGTGGTTGGACAAATTGGTCTCATTTCTGTAAGCTGCAGATTAACTTGTGCAGAGAGAAGTCGGAGCAGAAGTCTTCTGGATCACTTGGTGAAGCTTCCTGCTGATGCAGGCACCAATGGCATGTTGTTCCTTTCATTTACTGCTTCAAATCTGCCTTGCGTTTCTTGCCTCCTGTTATTTGGCTGCTCCAGGACCTCAAATAAGCTTCTTGATTCCATCCAGCGAAATAGTGATGAGCTATGACTAGTAGTTGGTGTGCGTAGTCCCTCTGTAGCCATAACACTCACCCCCCATTAAGCTGGGTTTGACCATACTCAGGAGCAGAACACCAGCGCTGCTGTAACAGTGTTTATAGATTTTTACTACGTTAAAAAAGGAAAAGGATTTTTCCCCTTCTGTGTGTAAATGCTGTATTCCTGAGGAAAACAGGCTGCATGTGTATAGTGGAACCAAGAATTTGCCGAGGTATAATTCTCCTAAATCGGTATCCATGTATCATATTTCAATGTATAGCTGCAGTGATCAAAGCAGTACTGAAAAGTTACAGAATTCATGGACTTCTGGTTTATATTGTTGGTTAAAACTTGGCCCCAAGGCTGCCATAATCTAGTTAACTGTCAGAGCTGTTTGGTGACCTGCACAAATCGGATCTGTTGGTTTAGCTTCTGCTGTGTGCATCACAGTTGATACCAACTGGCGCGTTTTGTGCCAGATGGTCCAAAAATTGGTGAGCAAGTATTACAAATTTTCATACCCCTGTCACATTTTTTGGGAGTCAGAGTGGAGGCATAGTGCCAGAACACTACGAATGGGACTTGGCAGCGTCGCTGCTCTTGTTCTGTCTGCTGATGGTGAGAGTTTGGCAGTGGAATTGTCACTTAGTTTTGCACAGCCACTTAATTCAGTTTAAAATATAAACCCACGTGATATGTATTGCAGTTCTCAATCAGAAACAACTCCTAAACTGCCTGTAGCAAACAGACTGCTGTTTCCTTCTGGGTAGGAAGGAGGGATCTTCCCTCATTTACGGAAAGCTGGAAGTAGCTGCTCAGAAGTCAAACTTTAATTTGCACGTAGGTACAGGTAGCAAACACTACATCTGTGCCAGGGGAGAGGTTGATTTACCATCTGTGTAGCTATGTGTTTTGCATAGATAGCTTCTGTTAGGTAAGTAGCTATCTTTGTGGTAATAAGAATAGTAGTAGCTACTGGCAGGAGGCTAAGAAGTCAAACCCAGAGTGCTCTGTGGGAATTTGTGTGGAACTCAGATGGCAACAGAATCACAGTATTAGGGATGAATACATGTGGGAAAAGAATAAATCCCAAACTCTAGGACTTCATATTGAGGGAGGCGATGTCACTTAAGCCAACAAAGCTTTTCTTTTAGCTTGTGGGGGACCTTAGAAATGCTTACAAATATCTGCAGGGTGGGTGTCAGGAGGATGGGGCCAGACTCTTTTCAGTGGTGCCCAGCGACAGGACAAGGGGCAACGGGCACAAACTGAAGCAGAGGAGCCTGGACGCGGTGCTGTGCAGCCTGCTCTGGGTGACCCTGCTTCGGCAGGGGTTTGGGCTGGGTGACCCACAGAGGTCCCTGCCAACCCCGACCTTTCTGTGATTCTGTGGGGGAAGGTTTGTTATGTTTCTGGTGGGTTTTAATTTTGTCCTTTCCTGAGTGTTTCAGTGGGGTGGCTTGATCAAATGCTGCATGCCTTGCAAAGACACTAATTGCTTGACGTATTGCAAAAGTGATTTTTGCATTGCGAGGTATGATTTAATGTATGACTGACCAGGGCGCTCTTTCTTTCTAAGCTGTATCAGCTGGAGTAGTTACCACAAGAACCTGCTAGCCAGCAGCGACTATGAAGGCACTGTCATCCTTTGGGATGGATTCACAGGACAAAGATCCAAGGTCTACCAGGTAACACGCAATCAGTGAGCAACACTTCCTTACACCACAGGCCACGTCAGGGGGGCGGTATTCAGCCTGAGGTTCTGCTTCTAGTCCAGCGATAGGCTTTTACATTTCACAGGGTGAAATGGATGCTCTTCCTATTTGGTAAATGTGTCTGTCACACAGCTTTACTGAGCCGTAGCCCTCCGAGGGCAGCAGCAATATCTTCTTGTCACAGTCGTGAGGCAGCTGATGTTCGCTTGCTGCTGCTTTCGGGTAGGGAATCTGCACAGGGAGAAATGAGTTGGAAGTTGTTTCTCGCCTTTCTTTAGAAACGTCTGTCTCCATACCTGTTCCACTTCAGTCTTTGTGAAAAGGCTTTTGTCAAATCCTGCAGTGATTGCTGCTGCTGCAGGTGCTCATGAAGCAGAAGAACAAATTGCAGACTGAAGTGGCACAGCTGAGAGAACAGAGCGGTAGGCAGAACCCTTCCTGGTACAGCCCTGTGCTCGGCAGAGCAGCGCAGGCATGGAAGTGAGCTGAGCTCAACCACAAGACCTGCTTCGGGAGAGCTTCCTGGAATTTTGCCTTTTCATGCAATTTGAACATTGCTTTTCTATATAATGGATTCTGAACGCCTTGTGATCGGAACAAGGAGGCTGGAAGAGAAGGTGGTCCGTTTGGGGAGAGGCTGGAAGTGCTGCAGGCTGTGTAGTAGCCTAGTGCATTGGACCTGTTCAGTGATAATGAATGACTGCAGACTAGCCTGCAGTTCTCCCTGCTTGACAGTTCAATCCAAGTTTTTATTCCTGTTTAAGTCTTTGTGTACTCTTCTGTTGTGTTTTGGCCATTTTATAATGATTGTTTTCACTAATCCTCTGCGTATCTCAATTAAAAAGAAATTATGCTGGACAAAATAAACCGTGTCAGTTTTCCTCACAGATAGATTTTGTGTTTCTTTGAGTCTGAATAATGAACCTAGAGAGAACCAGCTGTTGCTTATGTTAAAACAAACTCATTTTGCTTCCTGTCAGATTACTTGAATTTTTTTAGTTGGATTCAGATAGAGGCGTGCGTACTGACATCTGCTTCGCATGTATTAGAAATCCTTTTGTGACTTTGTCCTGGCGAGCTTTACATGTCGTCGCGCTGCAAGCCTGCACGGAGGCTTTAAACAAAGGGTTTGACTGAATTTCAGGTTTCATTCGATGCAGTGTTTCCCTTCCCTGTGGGATGTGCCACCATGGCAGATACAGCTCTGCTGTGTTTTGAGGAGGAGTGTGCGGTCTTGTCAGAATATTTGTTTTGAGTGGAATAACAAGAGGATTAGACACCAGAAGTTTTGTTTAATAATTCAACAGGAAGGTGAGGATTTCCTGGACTTTGAGAGGAGGTGTTTAAAATGGCTTTGAACGGGCATCTTATCGGTACTGGGAGGTACAACTGTGATATACTAGAATAAGCAGCAGCATACAGTGGAACCACAGACAGCCAAACCATGCTGCAAAAACAGAGCTTTAATGTGTATTTCCTGAAATCATTATGGTTTTTTCTCTCAAGTAAAAAACACAATCAGTTTTAGCTTTTAAACTTGCCATTCTACTGTTTTCTGCTTTCATGGCATGTCTAGCGTACTTCAAGCACTGGTCTGATTGGGAGAAAAGATATTTTTAGGGAAACTGCTCAGCACAGTGAGCTTCTCTGTGTAGGATTCTCCTGACAATTTATACCAAGCAACATGTGTTTTTTCTTTTATTCTTTTATCAGATTATAGCTCACTGCCTTGCAATATTTTTCTTGTTTCTCTAAACAGGAACATGAGAAGAGGTGCTGGAGTGTTGACTTTAACTTGATGGACCCAAAGCTCTTGGCTTCAGGCTCTGATGATGCCAAAGGTATTGTTCTTTGTCAGTCTGTGTGCAGAAGGCTTACACTTCGCATATTTCCTTTGAGGAACAAAAATGCGATGTTTCAAGTAGCTGATTCCTCAGCTGCCTTGAATATTGTAGTTGACGTGGTAATGTTTAAAGGTATTACTGAACTCTTTGGATCTTAGAGAAGGAGAAGCTTTGTTTGGATAAAAATTTCTTGGTGCGATGTTCACATTGTTCAGGTAATATGCTCTCTAGCTAGCATTTTCCAGGACACTAAACAAAGCAGAATGTGTTTTAACATTAGGCTTGTTGAGTTAAAGCCTTGGGGCCTTTCAAAAGAACAGCATGTATTTATATTTCAAAAATGAGGTTGTCAGTGAAAAAGCAGAAGTTAAAAATGCCTGCTGCTGTTTTACCTGTAGCTCTGAATGTTAAAGACTGCGCACACCGAGAAGCGTCCTGCTTTCACGACGTGTGGTGTGTTTCTCGGAGTTCAGCGCGGTCGGGTGATAGGCTGAGCGGGAGCGCTGGGAGCAGTGCTCAGCTTTCCACGCTCTGGTGTCCGTTTGATGAAGGGCTTTTGGAGAGAACCCTGAAGACAAGCCCTTGCCTAACATACCGCTAGAAAAATGTTTCTCTTCTAAAAAGCAATAAGAAACTTCTAAAGAAAAGAATAACACCGAGCAACATGTAGTATTCTTCATCCCTAATGAGTAAGATTTTATCTGTAGTAAGTTTACAATATGAAATCAGAGTTATTAAGCAGCAAGAGCTCGAGAGTTCATTTCATAGCCAGTGGGGATCAGCGCTCTCAGATGGGCTGATACAGCTCTGGACAGACCTCTTTGTGATTTGCTTTGATAAATTAGTTTTTCATAAACATGAAATCTTGCAAGCTGTTCCTCCCTCTAAAATGCTTTTAAATTCTGTTTCAAAAGAAAGCTGTATTAGTGGTCCTCAGTTGCATTTGGCAGTTTTAGTGTAGCTGGTAATACCATTTACAAAATGCAGCTTTAATGATTATTTTATATTTAAGGTCTGTTTTAAATGTCTTTGATACATTCTCCCCCTGCCCCTTCCTGGTGGAAGATGAGAGTGGTTTCTATGTGCTGAAATGCAGCAGGAGTGAACATTCACCTTGTAAATTATCAGCCCCTTCATCACGTTGCTTCCCACTCATGCTCTGTATTTGAAAAAGCTGATCTGCCAGGTAGACACGCATTTATTAGCATGTTAACAAGTTGTCCGGTTTTGCAAAGCCAGCTGCAAGCGGAGCTCCTGGCTCTGGTTTAATGGTTCACGTCTTCAGTAATAGCTTCTAAGCGCGTAGTGTTTACTTAGAAGTTATTGTGATAAAGTCAGCAGATCTACATAACTTGCATTTCAATTCACAAAGGTCTTTTGAAGGTGTACTGGGGTTTTGGTGGCTAAAACTGGGTTGGAACATTTTATCCTTTACTTCTACCATGGTTTGTCTGTGATTTGCATATGTAACAAGCCTGTTGGAGACAAATGGAGTCCTGTGTGGAAGTGCTTGAAGTAAGGACAGCTTTTTAGAAGTCTTTAAGGTGCAGAGCAATAGTAGCAAATGTCCAAATTAACGTCATAGTGTCCACCTTCTGTTTCAGTGATCACACTGGAGGGGTTAAATGTGAGAAAAGCTAACACCTGTGATGAGTTGTCTTAATTCAAACCTGCCCAACTTAAACTTTTGTCTTTCTGCTTGTCGCATTCATGAGTGTTTGGTTGAGTTCTGGCCAGCTTTGGGCATATATAACACACATTTGGCCAGGTACAGTGGCTGGTGGGAAATCCAAATTCTAAAGTGACAGCTTTGCCAGTTCTTCCTGCTTGCTGCGTATCTACCTGTCCTCGCTCGGTCTTTTGAGGTTGGAAGCTAATTTTTAAAGCACTTGGTATGCTCGGTAGGCATGTATTGGGGAAGGAGCTTTTAGATGCAGAGTCCTATTGTCTGTGCTTCACAGATGTGGCTGCCAGGGCTCAGGCACAGCAAAGGGGGTACTAATGAGAGGAGTGCTATTAGGGGTACAATGATTGTGATACAATTAGAAGCAGCATCCTTGGGCCTCGGTCCTGCATTGTCCTTGTTGTTAGATGAAGATAATCCAGGATGCTTATTTGTGGAAGATCTTTCTACTTTAATAGCAGATAATGAGAGCATAAAAGCATTATGGTATTTGAAGTAACTACTGTCTGTATGAAAACATCATTTTTATCTACAGTTGTCTTGCCCTTCCCTTTTAAAGGGGCAAGGGTAGTTGTATATGTCCATAGGGACCTGATGGTGTAAACTAACTAGACAGCGGTGAGTAAAATGAAAGTGTTTACTTGTGCTACAAGCAGCTTGGGGAACCAGCACAGTCTTAATTTCAGTTCTTTTATGCACATAATAATGGTAGGAGCTATGGTTCTTGTGTAAGTAAGAAAGGGTGGATTTCTGCTGTTGGAGAAGAGATTATTTAATTTTGTGAAGGCAAAATAATGCCATCAAAGTGCCAGGAAAGGGCTGGAGCTAGTGCACTTAGCTAATGACTTACAGCTGCTTCTCAACCCCATGTCCCCCTCTGTTCTGGGCTGGGAATGTAGTTTAATGGCCGTGGCAAATTTAGCAGATGAGATAGGGCAAAATATTTTGTGATGCCATGTGGGTAGAATTGAAGTCTCTGCTGGGGTAGAGACTTGTTTTAGAGTGAGCAAGCATTTGTTCTCTGCTCTGGAGGTTGTTTGTGAAGCTCTCTGAAGCTCAAGGAGATACAAGCAGTACTGACAAATTCAGCTGAAGAGAGTCCTGGGTTTATGTCCTTTCTGTAAGCTGTAGTCCCTTCACTGTTCCCAGTTCAAAATGGAGAGTTGGAGCAGAACAGGAGCACCCAATTGCTCTGAGCTTGTAGCAAGAGGTTATTCTTCATGGTCTCATGGCAAGGAGGAATACAAACATCTGTTCCGTTATGTCTAAGGAAAGCAATTTCCTTGCTGCATTGGTAAGTGAGACTACTGGTAGCAGTCATACAGGTATATTTTTTTTTTATAGTGCCCCTGAATTCAGAGGGGCAACACAGATTTGCAGAGTTGGCTTCACAAAGAAGAAGCCTGGCCTTCTAGAGAGGGAACTAGCCTGAGAACTACAGATCAGAGTTTGCTCCTCGGCTTTGTTCAGGACTTCCAGAGGGTTGTCTGGGGCTTCATTTTCAGTGATACTTCACTCCTTCAGCTTCTGCTGACTTTAACGGAGGTATAGACGTTTGTTGTTCTTAAAATATCGAGTTCAGCTTTCACTTTGCTCATTTTCCTGGCTAAAAGAAGTTCGATAATTTCCTGGCGATTTGTGGGGTTGTTGGATTCAACTGGGAATACCTTGAAAGGTCAAGAAGATGTTGGTAGTTAAAATACCAACCAAAATGTCTGTCTGGCTGTGTCTTATGCAAGGAGGAGTACCCTACAGTGATTGCCTGCTAACAGCCATCAGTTGGCATCATCCTCCTTGCCTGCTCAAGGCAGTGGATCAAAAATTTTGCCTAGCAGGACAATTCAGCAGCTTCCTCCTTTCCTAGGGATTCCTCTAATCCGTGCAAACGAGTCTTGTGCTAGCAGTATCCCGTTGCTGGCTTACAGCTGTTTCAGCATAGCAGCAGGCTCTCCATCACAGGAACAGATAAGAATTGTAAGAATGACAGGCTGGGTGAAATATCCCTACTATCAGTGTACCGACTGTGTACATCAACAACTTCAGCTATTGTCGTGCAGGCTTCTGCCTCTCTTACTCAGTGTTTGGACGTGGAACTGATGTATAGAAAATTAATCTATAAACTTACGCATTTGGTGTAAAGCTCCAACTGCATACGAAATTATCTTGAAAAGACCTAAGCGTTTTAAACTGAAAAAGCTGTTCTGGAGGCATCTTCTTACTGCTTGGAGAGGTAGACATTTGGCCGCATGGAGGATGTCTCTCAGCAGCTGCAAAATTGGGAACCGTATGCTTTGAGAACATGTTTTCGGAGTAGTCAATCTCGGATGGTTGCTTGTCTCATCCACACAATTCTAGGTGTTATGAAGGCACCTGTACGTTATATAATTACTGCCTCGACCTCAGCAAAATTTCTGAAAGCTACAGCAAATAAACTGTACCCTTATGAATTATGCTTTATTAACCTGTCAGTTCCCTTTAAAGAATACTGGGCAGTTCCAGGTAAAACATGACATGTTTCATTACGTGTTTTGTCGCATATATCCTTTTTTATGGCACTGACTAAGATATAATTGGAGCCCAGCATATCCCACAGCAGAAATTGCAGGCTCTGATCTGTGTCTGTCAGTTGTAATGAATATCATGATGGCTTTGAACATGCGGGTTGACTCTTCACCAGATTAAATGGCTCATCGTATGACCTGAAAAGCTGAATGAAAAAAGGAGCCAAGCTGAAACTGAGCGCTCAGCTAGCTTTTGCTACAAAACTGAGACCAGATGGCCATTCATTTCTTAGAGGTGGTGTCAATGAGAGACTTGGATGCTTTGGCTGCAGCTTTGATATCGGGTTGGAAGCTTCAAGACAAGCCTGTGCAGGACATCGCTCTGAGCTGTGAGATCACGTAACCTCCCCGCATGCCTCAAGCTGAAGCAGTGTTGTCTGCCAACAGTGTCCTCTTGTAATAGTGGTGGTATTTGCTTACTATGCCACCTCATCCGTAAACTGGATGTCCTCTACTGCAACTTAGACTAGACATCTCTTGGTGTCTGTTCATTAAAGCAAAATGCTCATGTGTTATTGTTTTTCAAAAGTGGCTTTCCTGGCTCCATTCCCCTCCTCGCCCAAAAGCGCAGAGCACGATGGAGGAGGTGTATCATCCAGTCTCACTTAGGAGAACAGAGCATCTTAAGCCATGCTGCAAAGCTGTTGGTTTCGTTTAGAAACGTAGGTAGATGTTTAAAGATTAATATTATAGCTCTGGTAGATGAAAATGGGTTTACTTCTGAAAACCAAGAACAGGGTGGGTGCTGTTTTCTTTGAATTTTACATAATGCTTATATGCAAGTACAGTACGCATCAGTGTTTGTATATCTGGTGTGTGTGTGTGCTGCTGTGTAATGGTTTCAGGCAGCTGTCAGATACCCCCCAGTACTGTATTTAAAATGATTCCTTAGCAAGCTCTGAGCAGTCATGTATTTCCTTCACTCTTCAAGCAGTTCTCCCAAGTATCGCCAGAAATAGTGCAGTCTTGATGCTTTTCATTGCTTGCCATGCTGTTAAAAAGTAGGTGTGCTAGAACGAACCTGCTAGCGTTCCTCATTTTCCTGGACCATCTAACACATCCTTGGGTAATCCACGTGGAAGCTTTGCTTCTCCTTCGAAGTTGCTGGGAAAGACTGACCAAGAGGTGATGCAGAGGACCCCGCAGAGGGTGCGGGGACTTGCCAGGAGACTGCTTACCTCGTGCATTGACCACAGTGGGCAACAAGATTCCTGTTCTTTAGGAACCTACCCTCCAAAGTGAGCTTTCTGTAAAAACACATCAGGGGACCTGTTGTCCACAGAAGAGGCCCAGGCAGCTCATGAGAGCTGTTAGGGGTTGAAGCCTTCATGTATCTCCTGCGTGTTCAAATGTTGGCTTCAGTTTGCTCTGCATCCTACCTCAGCATGCTGATGGTGATGCTCAAGTAGAGCACAACCCACTCTTCAAGAAAGGGGGAAGGGAGAAAATTTGTCTTATTTACTGCCTTGTAGGCATCAGCGGGGCTTGATGCCAATGTGCTGCCCCTTCATCTGGACTGAGGGCGGTGTGTTTTATCTGTGGCTTTTAATAGTAAGATTGGCTATGTGGGGAGCGCCTGGCACTCTTCAGCTTGAGGTTGAATGGTACTTGAAGTGTTCGTGGAGGGTGGGGAAGGCTGTGTTTTGAAAAGCTGCTGGTGTTTTCTTTTGGTTGTCCAGTGAAACACTGAAGTGAGTACTTGGGGGAAGAGCTTGTTCTGTACCACGTAGTGTGATCGGTGTTCACATGTAGAACAGCAGAGTTCTTGTACCAAGGGAATATATTGTCATGGGAAGCCAGCGTACTGATTTCTTTCCTGTCTGTGCCAGTTTCTCAAGAGTAAAACAAGTTGTTCTCACTCTCTGTGCTCAAGCATACAATTAGGTGTATTTATTCTGTGCAAAGCAATTCTGCCGTGGAGTGTGGGGTTCTTGCATCGCCGGTAAGGGACGAGGAACAAAAAGGACGCAAGCCTTCCTGCTCTTGATTATATGAATCTGCACTCCGGTAGCCTTAAATGCTGAGATTCTAACGCGGTTACTCACCTGCTGCCATGTTCTCAGTCATGCAGGATGGGGACTTTCAGTATCTCCTGTGTGTGTGGAAGTGGGCAGAATATTTGCAGTGCACGCTTGAAAATATTCTCAAGCTTACCAGTCATCAGCAGCAACTGACCCTTTATAATCACTAATAATGGGGCAAGTGAGGGTTTTTTTAGACTCCTAGTTATTTCATAAACAAGTTTTATGCCTTCAGATGAGGTAGATGTGTTTTTTTGTTTTTGTTTACTCATTTAACTTTTTCTGTTTCTCTAGTGAAGCTGTGGTCTACCAACTTGGACAACTCAGTAGCAAGCATCGAGGCCAAGGCTAACGTGTGTTGTGTCAAATTCAGCCCCTCTTCTAGGTATCACCTAGCTTTTGGCTGTGCAGGTAGGTAAAAGGGGTTTGGGGCAAAGAGGTGCGGTTTCTTCCTGCCTTTGTTTCTTGTTCCTCCCAAAGACGTGAGGTTGGCTGCTGTGCCCAGGAGTGAGGTGTCTTTGCAGTTAAAATAACCTCAGAGTAAGACTTCTCAAGCATGCAGTTGCCCAGAAGACAGCGTGATACCCAAGCACCAACTTCATCCTGCAGCCTGACGTTTTAATTTGGGTGCCCCTCTCAGATCAAAGCTCCCAAGAGCAGGTCGCCCAGTGTATTTACTGAGGTCGCTAAGGCAACCGGGCAAAGCTCACCTTGGAGAGTCTCATAGCAAAGTGTTAATGTGTTAACATGGTGATAGCTGTTCTTTCTGATTTGTAGCGTTGCTCTATAAATACTACAAAGCCAAACTGGGAATTTTAACTGGTATTACCCCGGGGCGTGCTGTGAAACAGTGGCTGTGTGTGTTTCCCATAGCTGCAACTGTAGCCCCCGTGGATGGGCTCCTGTTCTCCTAGGTTGGGTAGAGCATCGCTGTTAATGTTGTCTTTGAAGTAGTGCGTGGGGAGGGCACGATGAGCCTCTTACTTAGATTAAATAGTTCTTGGTGATTATACAAAGATTTGAGAGCAGAGCAGGTATCGCTTTGGGAGGAAACTGTATCATGCTGTGCATGCAGCAACTGAAACTTGGAGGTACCTATAAATGTTTAACCAGCTCTGCACTTTTTCTCCTTGGAGTTTTAACGCACTTGTAACTAGATGTTCTGATGACATTTGCTATCTCTGGACTTCAGGAGATACGCTGATCATTCTTGCAACCACTGGTTTGCTATTTCATTTAGGAGTTCCCATTTCCAGGCTGGTTCTACTTAGGTTGTGACTCTTAGTAGGAAAAGATAAATTTGCATTTTGATACACTACAAAAAATGGATTCAGACTGGAGTGTAAAATATTGACTTGCTTGACAGGCATCTCGCTGAAGTTTAGTGAATTACGTGCAAGAATAGAATTGAATTACAATACGTACTGGCAGCATTTGAATGGAAGGGCCTGTGTGTGAAAGGCTCTAGGGAAAGATGAGAGCACCAGCTCCAAATGGATCAGTCGCTGATTAAAATAGATATGGAGAAGCAGCATGAAACAGAAGTCTTCCTGATAAATCGAACTGGTATTCCTTTCCACTTGAAAAACAGGGCGGGGGTAAGGCACCAATAAATCTATGAAGGCTTTTGGAGCTGTAGGGCGCACGGGATGGGAGCGGATAGGAGTCTCTGTCCATGCTTGTGTCGAACACACCACGATGGGCTCATCTTCAACAGGCGTGTTTGGGAAAGAAGCGTTAGCAAGCACCGGGAGTTACGGGGAGGTTTTAAATGACTACATAGAGATGTTCATGATTTAGAGAATGCTGAGGGGTAAAATGGTATTTGTGCTGGGGAAGAAGCGTAGGAGGGAGAGAAGATAAATTTTTTAAAGTGTTTACATCTGCTTGATGCTTGGTAATTGTCTCTAAATAAAAATTAAAATGGGTATTTAACTATGATTGCTGAAACAATTACATGGAGTAATTGAACTGATGGGAATGACTTCCCGCAAAGGAATTCTAATTGGTCTTTCAGCTACAAATACATGTGAAAAGGTGGCTTATGAAATGAAGAGAAATATTGCGGTCCTAGAAAATGTTATTTTCCGAACTCCTAAAAAGAAAATCAGAGCAAAGAAATGAATTAGTGCCTGCTTTCATGTAGCTGAAGATGTCCCGGCTCATTGCAGGTGGATTGGGCTAGATGACTGTTCAAGGTGCCTTCCAACCCAGACTGTTGATCGACTCGTACTCAGGCAGGCCTGTTCCATGCGTTAGGATGGAGATGGAGGCTTTGCTGCGCTATCAGTTTCAGCTAGCCTGGTTTACTAATTTCATGTAGTCTATGGAAAAAGCAATGTAACTTGCAGATAGTGTGATTTGTTACGTGGGCTATAAAATTAATAAAGGAAGAGTCGAAGCTGGCTTCCTTTAGTATTTAAACAACAAAAAAAAAAAAGGTGGGAGGGGATTGGGCACACAGATATAGCCATTCTTGTTTGCCTCACGTAGAAATAAAGAGGAGCAGTAGAAAACACTAAACAGTAATTCACTGACCACTGTAGTGGTTCTCTCTGCCTTGGCTTGTTCTTGCACTCAGAGGATTTTCAGTTTTGAAACATGATGTTTCAGTTACTTTCTCAGTGATTTATTCAATGGTGAAAGAGCAGAGATTTCCTAGCAATGCACACCCAACGCTATTTTGTGCAGTATTTAGGCAGAAGTGTTGCTCCTTCACATAATCTGTTTTATTTGTTGATTTGATGGAACTTAGTGCTATATATGTGTGTGTATGTTTGTGTATATATATTTATAGCTTAAGACTTAAGGAGATAAGCAATTAATTAAATGGCTGGTATGGGGGAAAAGTATTGGTACTTAATATTTGAGATATAAAAGGAGGAAGTAAATTGATTTACTGTACCATTATTAAATGACTGAACATACATGTTTTGGTTCCTCCGTTCTCTATATGCAGAATAGCTTGCAAGCTAGCATGCCTTGCTTCAGCAGTGGAATTTTGACTACAAGCCTAATTGTTTTCAGTGTTAATATTTTGAAATTATAATTTTTTCAATTTTAGTTTCCTGTTTTTCTTTTCTTTTGAAGGTTGGTCTTAACCATCCATAGAGCTGGAACACCTTTTCATAAGGTCTTGCCCTTTACACCTTTGTTAAGGAAAGATTTTCCTCTGCCCTTGACAAATGCATCTTGCCCAGTTGCATCCATCTACTCAGAATGCCTCTTTCAAGTGAGTTTTCCTGATCGGATGCTTCAGTTAGATCAGCACCTCTGTGCTGGCTCCCCCTTTGCGTTCTCCACAGAAATAAGAAGGCTATCTTAAGGTCCTTTCTACCTTTTCTCCATTTTACGTATCCCTTCTCATTTGTTAATGAAATCTTGACTGTTGGCTTGTCTCTGCCAGTGAAGCTACATTGTTGTGCATAGGGTAAAATATTGAGAGGTATGTTTGTGCTTTCTCTGACTTTCTCTAATTTTAGAACTCCCTTTTACAGAAAAATAAGAAGGAAGATACTTGAAAGTCCCACAGAGGTCTACCAACATGTGGCATGGATTATGTGAGCTGTTGCAGCAGCCCTTTGAAGTGTTTTCATTGACTTTTCATTCCCTGGGTGCCTCTGTCTGCTGAGGACCTCAAGTCCTCAAACCCCAGTCTCTTTTGGGACGGGAATCACTGTGGCATGTCCAGTGCTGAGGGTGATGGCAGCTTGGCCCTCAGCTGGGTCCCTCAGCTGTACTGCAGTGTAGGTAGCCACCATCATGTACCTGCAGATTCAGGGCTCTAAGTAATCCTGAACCAGAGATCTTGGTTTTTAAAAAAGCATTTCCACCTGTGCTCAGTTTGCATGCTGTGTTGTCAAATAAAACAGCGAACCGAAGGACTGTGGCGATGGATTTTGAAGCATGGCCAGGCTGCATACCCGGAGGCACAGTTGTTAAATGGGGGTTATTGCTCCAACAGCTTTGGCTGTGATATTTCTCCCTGATGAGACCATGTTGACTCTGCTAGACTGCTCGCTGCTGTTCACCTCGAACTGCTCCTCCTTCATGGAGAACAGACCTTCCCCCCACGTGCTGAGTTCCTCTGCAGATCCCTTGCCATCACTGACAGCAGAAGAAGGTGAAGCAACTGCCTTGAATGATGCCACCCGAAAAGGACATGATGTGGGTTGGAATTGGGATTTATGTGGATTTCTTGGTCAAACCCTCTGTGCTTCAGTGTACCTGTTGGTAAACATGAGTAGTGGTCATGGAAGGAGTTGCTGTGACGCTGTGGTTTAGATGTAGCCATGGTCAGAAGTGTTGTTGGATTGCGTATCTCAATATGGAACACTTTCCTTTAATAGAGTCTACAGGGTTGGCTTCAGATGTGGTAGAAAACCATGCTTTAGTTGCCACTATAGAAGCAAATCCCTGGATTGCCATCCAATATGGATGATATATACATTTTTTTCTGGGTTCTTCACTCTGAAAGGTTTTAGCTGACCAAAAGATCGTTTTGGTAGCTTAAAACAGAACAAATGAGCAATAAATTGGAAATAGAGCCTATACACAGGAGGAAGGGGTATTTGATTTGGGAAATAATTCTCTTAAAACCAGACAGGCACTGCAGGTGAGAGGGAAGCTAGTGTGTCTGGCTGCAGCCTGATAAAATCAGTGGCAGCGGAGAGGGCATATAAAGAAGAAAAGATCCATTTTGTCTGTTGCTTTAATAAAATATTCTATTTGCATGCTTATTGATTTGAAACATTGGGCAGTATAAACTGTAATCACCGGCGAATACAAAACCAGGTAATTTTGTGGTCTTTTCCTGTTTTTAAAAATAGATAGGGTTTTATCCTGAAATTAGCTATATAAATCATGACTGAAGTTGTTATTGTTCTGCCTCAGCAGTAGCACTGGTGCCCTTAACCCATATATTTTCTAGCAGTACTATTTCCCTACTAAAAAAAAAAGCCTGAAAATGCATGCGGTTTGCAGCTTGAATGTCCAGGTTGTGCAGTCTGGGTGAGATCAGACTGTCTGCTAACTCCAGTGAGCTAAGCGTAGCTATTGATAGTAGCAGTGCTTTATTCCCAGCATGCTGTAATGCTGTCAGCAGCTACCACTGACCTTTTATTTCCCATATATTATGCAGAGATCATGTCATCAAAACTTCGGATTCCTGAGTTCTTACATTAGATGCATTATTTTCTCGTATGCTGTATTTTTTTTTTCCGTGTAGGACCCACAAATCTGGCAGGTTGGGTTGGGGTATGAGAGGGGTGTCTCAGGGCTGCAGAGATGCAGGACAGAGTACGGGCTCTCCAGGAGCATCACAGAATAAAGTGGAAGCAACGGGCGGGTACAGATGGACAGAGAGCAGCACCGTAATAGCTGCAACGTGGTCAGAGCTGAAGGTTTTGTTG